TTGTAGTTCCCTCCCAGCGCGAGGAACAAAGCATAGAGAAAATCCAAAACAGAGCGATGAGACTCATCCTCGGCTGCCCTATGACCACCAGAATAGAAGTCAAACAGCGTGAACTGATCCTGCTCCCCGTCTGCGATCGAATTACTGCTCTCAATGCCATTCTTGATATTAAACTTCTTCGTAGTGAGCAACCGACTCCCCTGTCGCGCTCACTGAACTCACATCTTAACACCCTCCTGCGCCGGCCTGTCCCCATTACCTTTCCTTCCCCCTCTCAACACTGGCCCCTTCCATACTGCTGTTGACATTCTACGTTATCACCTTTACACCCCCTCGACCTCTCTCCCTCCCGAGTACACTCATCCGCCTCTACCGCCGTGGACTTCCCCGAGTATTGATGTTCTCGTCCCCACCTTCCCTGGTCGTAAATCAACCCAACTGCAGGATATGCTCAAACTTAGCTGCCTTGAGCAGAGTAATGATGTCGCCTCCTCTCTTACAACCTCCAATCCTCCTATCCTCGTCTACTGTGATGGGTCTGTTACCACGCTTGGCAGCGCTGGGGCAGCTGTGTGGATTCCTGAGCGCCAGGCCCGCAGGAAAATCAGGGTCCACGACTGGGCCTCCTCCACTGACACTGAAAGCATACCTATCCTCGCGGGCATTCATCAGGGAGCGACCTATGCTCGCACTGAACGCCAGAACCTCCTTATAATCAGTGACAGAACTTCTGCGCCGCTAGCGAGGCTCAAATCACCCTCCCCCTCCTCCCCTGCCGCCCAACACACCCTAGCCGCCGTCGCTGGGCTAGAACAAACTGATAACATCCGTTTTAAGTTTATCTGGATCCCGTCACATATAGGAATAACTGCCTGTGACACTGTTGATCGGCTTGCCAAAGAAGCGACACAAGAAGAAGATATTGAAGCCACCCTCGCATTCTCTCTGAATCATCTCAAATCTCGCATACACGCCGCTCAACGAGAAGCATTCGACGAAAATTGGACACACCTGAAACAACGGGGTAGCATCACACTTCGCCACTATGACGCTGTAACCGGTGACGACAACCGCCACTACAAAGAGTATTAATCCCTGACTCGATCTCAACAGATTATGTACATGAGACTGCGCCTTGGGTACAGGTACCTATGGGAGTACATTGGCAACCCTGAGCCTGGCCACACTGTTTGTAAACTTTGTGTCCAACCCGACTCTCACACCCTCTCTCACTACATCCCCATTTGCCCTATGACCTCCTCCTACAGGTCCTCAGCCATTACCAACGCCTATGCCGTCCTTGACCAGATATCCCTCCTCCTAGTGACAGGCCTGGCACTTGACATTCTTTGGGACCTGCCACGCTTTGCCATAAACAGATGAAATGTACCGGGAACTTTCCCCCCACACACTCATCATTCTGTCACTTTATATAACTTGCTGACAAAACCTATGACCCTTCAGTCTTCTACGCCCTTAATGCATGAGTCATAAACGCAAGCATGAACTTAGCATGCTTCCCAGATGGGCGCTGTAAACGCTTCTGCGCTTCACCTTGCACAGGGTGTAAGGGGGTGCCCAATAAATTATCCCCCTCTGGGGGAATCTAAAAAAAAATCTATGGACACGCCTGTCCGAGGAGTTCTTGGTGGACCGGATAAGGCAGTGCTGCTGTCTCTGGGATCACCAGGACTCTTCACTTCATAAACCAAAGAAGGCGTAGAATTGCTGCACTTTCTTCGTCAGTTGGATCCATCTTGTTTGTTGACAGTTGTAAAACGAAAGAAACTGGCGAGTTAGTTCTACTCTTGTGACGGTGCACAAGAAAAAAATTTGACGATTTTTTGAAAGTTGTCCCCAAAAAGTCGACAAAAGAATTCCTGTGTGACGCCGCCTTCATGAGTTATGCCACAGTAAAAGGCATGCTAAGCTGATAGTGCAATTTCGTCTCTATTTATAGCTCTTGGTATATTACTATACGAAAGTGAAAGTTTTCTTTCTTTAATATGATTATACAATACATTTTTATGAACACAAAATTTATTAATGAATGTTTTATATCGTAATAACTTAAAAAATCTTGAAAATTTGTCCGGTAACAGCGTTTGGCAACTACTGTACACTCTCCCAAGACGAATTTCCCGCCGAATGTCGAAGATACCAGTCAATGTTTATCTATTCTTATTTTTATAACAAATCTAACTGCTAATTGAAAAAAAAATCAAGTAAAATTGGCAAAAAATAAATGCTAAATTTTTGATAATGTACTTTTAGAAAGCTACAATGTATCAAATCGATTTATATAATTATAATTTCGATATACTGGAAGTGACTGTCATATTGTAATTACATCGTAGTCTAGATGATTGCTAATGTCAGTACCACTGCATGACGTGTTCACGCAAATTCCTTTCGCTAGCTTCAGTCCTGATTTATATTTAATTGATTTCCGTATTCTTCATATGAAATAGAAGTCAATTTTTATTAATTCATTTGATAGCTACATTATCTGGCATGATGATGATGCATTAACAATATAATTTTTGCAAATTTTCAGTTAGAAAATTAACAGATAATGAAGTGCTTTAGATTAACTATCATTAGCTTTCACTAATAAAAATAATGGTTGCCCCTCGTGCAACTAGTATGGCCGGCCACCTAGGCGTGAATTTGTTTAAGGTGTAGACGCTATCGCCGAGGCAACAACCACACCCTAAGTTAACGAGTTGCATAACCCAGTTTCAAGGAACAGTCCGAGAAGACCCCGACAACTGCTCTGGGTAACCATTACCCCGGAACACGATCCGCAAAACATCCAGGTTCCCAATTACTGCTGAGTAGACAGAGGCAAGTAGCGTAAAGAAACTTGCCCATAATTTCACCCTGCAGTGGATGGAACCCGAGTCCGCTCGCTTGCAAGGCAAGCATGCTGACTTTTACACCACAAGTCGCTTTCACTAGTCAAACTGCCACAACATCCAATCACAAAAAGACACGTCATATTGGGAGGTGGCGCTTGTTTTTTTGGATATCAATAAAAACTAACAATTGGCATCCTCGTTTACACCAGACCCCTATCGCTCATATATCTGTCCAACCTATATTTGAAGTTACCCAGCGTGTTCGAGTTAATGATAATATCTGGTAACTTGGTCTACTCATCCACTACTCTATTTTCAAACCAGTGTTTACCTACCTCACGCCCGGGGTAGGTAAATGTTTTCTAGGGAAACGATATCCATTTTGTAGTACGATGACCAGAACTGAACCGCATAATCCAAGCTAGGTCACACAAGCGCAAGATATAGTTTTAGGATAACCTTGTTAGTCTTCCAACTAATTCTCCTTTGTATGAATGAACAAAGAATAGGATTCCTGAGAAGAAACTTCTTAGTAATAATTTACCATCTTCTGCTGTTTCGTTTGGATATGTAAATGAGGTAATATGTATTTGCCCATGTAATGGTGACTTAAAAGTTTTTCTACCACTACTTAACAACTTAGCCCCCTCGATTAACTTCACTGTGGTATTAGAAAATGACTGTAAATTACCATTCCTAGACTGTCTGATTCACCATAATAAAGGCAAACATTCAGTATTTTTATCAATGGGGTTACGTGCTCTACGAATATGCAGTCCGGAATCCATTGATGAGGAATTTGAATGTATCTACAATATTGGATTGAACTTAAAGTACCCTAGATCTTTTATAGACAAATTGCCTTAACATCGATATGAAAACTTTTTTTATAAAACTCATCCTAAACCTCCTTATTACAATAAGAATCTCTTTGTGTTACCATTCAACGAAAATTTATATCAAATTCCTCTGCAACTGGAACGTAAATGTAACGTTTAGTAATTATTGCGCTGTTAAACAAATGTAAATTAAGAACTCTCCCAGCACTGCAGGTGGCTGCATTTACAAAGTTCCTTGCAAGGAATGTAATATGTTCTACTTATGTCAAACGGGCAAAGATCGTATAATTAGACTTAAACAGCATAAATATAGTACTAGGACAGGCCAGGAATCCAGTTCTTTGTTCATTCATATGAGAGATAATAATCATTGTATTGATTGGGATAATGCCTCCTCAATCTTACCTTGTAATTCAATTGTCAGTAGGAACATTATAGAATCTAGTCTCATTAAACATATCGAATCTGTCAACATACCGAATCTGTCAACATGAATTTGAGTAATGGTATGTACAAACTGGATAATTTTGTGATTAAGAAGATTTGTAATCAGGTGAGAAGGTTGGGTCATCTTACCCTTTGACCTGACTACGGACAGCTGCTGTGCTTAGATGGCATGGTCAATTTTTTTGATTAAGAAAATTAGTAAGGGTCACTGCCTTATGATTGGAACATTGTGGACACCTGCTGTCGTCTACTGTATATATTAGCCTTATCAAGTATTACTCCTTAGTCTGTACTCACCCCTGAAGATGTGAATTTCACGAAAACGCTTGGGAACTTCGTGTTTTCATCATTCCTTGTGGTTATCAGCATATATATACAGTATATATATATATATATATATATATATATATATATATATATATATATATATATATATATATATATATATATATATATATATATATATATATATATATATAGGAGAGAGTAAAGGATATCTCACAGTGAAAGAAAGAAAAGCAGGTAATTACATTTCAGGGTACAGATCAGGCTGTACTCTCACCCCTGAAGATGTGTGAATTACACGAAAGTGTGAATCCCTGTGTTTTCTTTCCTGTGGTTATCAGCATATACCTAGATCACGCACCTACAGTGATGACAGATATATATATATATATATATATATATATATATATATATATATATATATATATATATATATATATATATATATATATATATATATATATATATATATATATATGTGTGTGTGTGTGTGTGTGTGTGTGTGTGAGGGGGGGCACACACAAAGACACAGAGATAATGGGAGAAAGAATCAAATGCTAAGGCTTACCCAGAACTGTAGCCACTGTCGCCGCCACTGATGACGTAAGGGGAATGGCTGTTGGGGTAGATGGGTGAGGTCGGGAGTGGCGACGGTGTGCTAGTGTAGGCGGAGGAGGTACGGACAGCAACAAGAGTAGAGTAGGGCGGAGGTAGTTCACTGGGCCCACCATCGGAGACGCTGCTTGATCGGTCGCTGATATTCACCGACACTATAAGTACAATACGATATTATAATTACTTTTACAATTGACAATATTCCAGGAATTTGCATCAATTGATTAAGTTCAAATAATAATCAGTTATAATGGGTAATTTAATTGCAAAGATGCAAGTAATAGTAGGCAGCTATCAAACAAGGAGGCACTACCGCCTGGGAAGATATTGGAAGCATGTAGACCCTGCTGCCGTATGACATCACCAAAATGTTAATTAAGTCCCAGATTACAAAGCTGACTGACTTTCTGCCGTATTTACACTTACTTGCAGGGTCTCAGGTGTTTCTTTTTTTTCATACCACAACATATACTGTTTATCAGTTGCTACCTGACCCAGCTTGGAGAAGGACGTGCCCCCAAGTGCTCCCGTTAGTGACCAAGGAAAATGGCCGCCTTGGATCGTTGTGTCTTGGGGGAAGAGGAGCAGAGTGTGAGGAAAGACGACCTCCTGGCCACTCTGTTAAGGCAGCTGGGGCAGTTGAGGAGTGAGATTGACTCTCTAAAGGGAGAAAATGAAGCCCTCAGGACTGAACACCTTCAGGTAGGTGTCCTGCTAGGCAGGACACCTGCGAAGCAGGAGCAGGCGTGGAGAGTGGTTGTCTCCAAAGGGACTAGGGTCAGGCTCAGGAAAGCTGACCAGGGTGTGGAGTGTAGTAACCCCTACCAGGTGCTGGAGAAAGCTGGCGGGGAAGAGAAGCGGCAGGACTGTGTGGTGCAGGGAGAGGAAAGGGCAGTTGGACAAACCCTGCCCAGAGGTAAGGTCGTGGTAGTTGGGGACAGCCAGGTGAGGTTTTTAGAAAGGACTTTTTGTGTAAGAGATAGGAAACGTAGGACTAGGGTGTGTTTTCCTGGGGCTGGGATAGGGCATGTACCTGAGAGGATAGATAGGGTTTTGTCAGGGGAGGGTACCAATCCAGTAGTGTGTCTTAGTGTGGGAGGAAACGACATAGGAAAGGTTAGAAGTGAGGAACTTTTCAAGAGGTATATGGTGGCGCTGGGGAAGATTAGAGTTAGGGGAGGAATCCCGATAAAATTCATGTGATGTCTTACCTAGAGGGTTGGTTGTGATTGGCTGTCCAGAACCAATTGCTATAAATTGCCGACTGGAAACGATATTACAAATAATGGTTGGGCAGCATTCATTGATAGCTAAGCAACGATTCTGTGGCAAAGACTACTCCAATACAGTCGTGACGGAATATACTTGTCTCGCGCCGGGGTAAAGACGTTGTCTGGATCCTGGAAGTGGTGTCACTCAAGGGGGGTTTCGCCAGTAGAGAAGGGTCAGGAGAAGTGGGAGTAAAAAATGAAACCCAGGTCCTGGGAAGTAAAATTAGTTCTCAGGACAAGGAGTAAAACAGGACTATACAAACAGTAGGAGCGTTAGAAATAAAATAGACTTGCTGAGAGCGGTTGTATGTACCGAGAATGTAGACGTCATAGCAATCACCGAAACTTGGATGAATCTGGCGAGCAAAATTTTTTTATCAGAGTACCACATAGAAGGGTACAACCTTTTTCACAAGGACAGGGAAGGTAGGAAGGGGGGAGGGGTTGCACTCTTCGTCAAGGATACATTGAAATGTTGTATTAATAATTCAATAAAGGGTGAAATAGGAACCGAGTCTGTATGGGTAGAAATCACGGAAGGAAGAGAAAAACTAATTATGGGAGTGACTTACAGGTCCCCAAGTCTTGGGAAAAAAGCAGCTCAGCCCATATGGCAGGAAATGAGTAGGGCAGCAAAATATAACAACATGTGCATTATGGGGGATTTCAATTTCAGAAATATTGACTAGGACAACATTGTAGGTGACTATGAATCTGAAGACTTCCTAGACGCAATACAGGACAATTTTTTGAAACAACTAATTACAGAACCTACTAGAGGTGACAATATATTAGACCTAGTATTAACAAAAAAAGAAAATATTATCAGAGATATCACAGTAGGGGAACAACTAGGAAACAGTGATCACAGAGAAATCAGCTTCACCCTAAATTGGGAAACGAAAAACAATGACAATATGGTCAGAGTCCCAAACTTTCGGTTGACGGATTATGAGGGGTTAAGAAGGTACCTAGGTAAGGTCACCTGGGAACAGTCACGTCAGTCCCCAGTAGGTAGGGGTGAGGTCATAGATGACACAACAATTGATCATGACTATAATATATTCACTAGTATACTACATAAAGCACAAGAACAAAATATACCATAGAGAAAAATTTGGTCAAATAAGAATGAGTCAAGGTGGATGACCAGAAAACGTAAACATGACATAGGAATAAAGAAAGGAATATATAAGAAATTAAAGGGAGGGGAGGAGCAGCTCAGAAATAGGTATAATGAACTATCTAGGAATGTTAAGAAAAATGTACGGAAATCAAAGAGAGACTATGAAATCAAAATAGCAAGAGAATCCAAGGCGAATCCCAAGGGATTTTTCCAGGTATATATATAGAACAAGGTCAAGGACAAAGTTGGGCCTTTAAATTCAGGGAGGGGAGAAGTGATAAATGGCAGTGAAGAAATAAGCAAAGCATTGAACAGCTACTTCTTATCAGTTTTCACAGAAATTTGCGAGGAAATTCCAGAGGTGGAACTGATATATAGGGGAAAGGAAGAGGAGAAATTAAAGAATATCACTATCAGAAAAGTGGATGTTCTTAAGAGGATAAATAAACTAAAGAAGACAAAATCCCCAGGGCCAGATGAATTTTTCCTTCGAGTCTTAAAAGAGTGTAGGGGACAGTTTAGCGGACCCCTCGTAAATTTATTTACAAAATCATTAGGCACGGGAGTTGTGCCAGACTTGTGGAAACAGGCAAATGTAGTACCCATATTCAAAAAGGGAGACAGAGCATCAGCTTCAAATTACCGGCCAATCAGTTTGACGTCAGTAGTGGGGAAATTTCTTGAATCAATTATAGCAGACAGCATCAGATCGCATTTAGAGAAAAGCAAATTAATCTACGACTCTCATCATGGGCTTACAAAGGGAAAACCCTTTCTAACAAATTTGCTGACGTTTTTTTAGGAAAGTCTTCGAGGTAGTAGATAATGACGAAAATTACCATGTTATTTACTTAGACTTAAGCAAAGCATTTGACAGAGTACCGCATCAGAGGCTTCTGAGAAAAATTAAGGCTCATGGTATCGAGGGGAAAGTTTTAAATTGGATAAAATCATGGCTCACCGATAGAGCACAGAGGGTCAGCGTAGATGATGTTAAATCTGAGTGGGGCCGTGTAACCAGTGGGGTTCCCCAGGGGTCAGTACTAGGCCCACTCTTGTTCATAATCTACATAAACGCTCTAGATACTGGGATCAGCAGTGACATAAGCAAGTTTGCCGATGACACCAAAATACGGCGGCAGATTAACTCAGGGCAGGATGTAAAGGTATTACAAGAGGATCTAAATAAACTCCTGCGGTGGTCTAAAAAACGGCAAATGAAATTCAACACCAGCAAGTGCAGCGTACTTAATATTGGAAGAACAAATACTGTCAATGTATACAGCCTTAATAACATTAACCTAGAGAAGTCGACTTGTGAAAGAGACCTAGGGGTACTTGTAAGCCCGGACCTATGGCCTAGAAAGCAGTGCGTTAAAGTTCGAAATAAGGCAAACAGAGTATTGGGTTTTATATCTAGAAGTGTAAGTAATAAGAGTGCAGAGGTCTTATTGCAACTATATCTTGCGCTAGTCAGGCCGCACCTCGATTATGCGGTTCAGTTCTGGTGCCCTTATTATAGAATGGATGTCAATACACTAGAGTCGGTGCAGCGAAGAATGACGAAAATGATTCCGGGACTTAGAAACCTTCCATATCAGGATAGGTTAAAGAAACTAAACTTGCATTCCCTAGAAAGACGAAGAGTGTGGGGAGATATGATAGACGTATTTAAGTGGGTGAAAGGAATCAATAAAGGGGATATAGATAAAGTTCTTATAATATTCGAGCAGGATAGGACTCGGAGCAACGGATTTAAGTTGGATAAGTTTAGGTTTAGGAGGGAAATAGGAAGGAACTGGTTCACAAATAGGGTGGTGGACGAGTGGAACAAGCTTAGCAACTTTGTAGTAAGTGCTGAAACACTGGAAAGTTTTAAAAGGAGGCTAGATAGATTCATGGATGATAGAGAGTGGTAGTAACTCTCGACAGGAGCTGCCATGCACAGGCCAACCGGCCTATTGCACTCTCCGTATTTTCTAATGTTCTTATGTTCTTATATCGTTTCTCACTTTTGATTTGTCTATTTTTTCCATTTCTGTATTTATTTTTGGCTCAACATTTTTGCCCCCCCCCCCTCCCCCGGCCTTGATGTGGGTCAGTGACCTTTGCCTGGGTGGGCGAATCTCCGTAAAAGAAAAAAAAATATATGAAAGCCCGTCAGCACAATTTAAATACTAAGCCTTCACCACACATGGAGACAATTTTGCTGGCACTGCACTGGATCTTCTTCACTATTTAAGTTTATTCGGTACTATAGTGAGTTTCTGTCAGACCAATGCTGTCCAGACCAGGAAAATGGCGCACTATAGGAGGCTCGAGGAATAGGCTTACAGCACATACCTGCTCGGATATTATATGGACTTTATCTATATCCCCTATATTGATTCCTTTCACCCACTTAAATACTTCTATCATATCTCCCCGCACTCTTCGTCTTTCTAGGGAATGCAAGTGAAGTTTCTTTAACCTATCCTGATATGGAAGGTTTCTAAGTCCCGGAATCATTTTTGTCATTCTTCTCTGCACCGACTCTAGTGAATATATATCCATTCTATAATGGGGGCACCAGAACTGGACCGCATAATCGAGGTGCGGCCTGACTAGCGCAAGATATAGTTGCAATAAGACCTCTGCACTCTTGTTACTTACACTTCTAGATATAAAACCCAATACTCTGTTTGCCTTATTTCGAACATTAACGCACTGTTTTCTAGGCCGTAGGTCCGGGCTTACAAGTACCCCTAGGTCTCTTTCA